ACCCGTCCAGGAGGAGAGTTTTGAGTTGATCCTGACCGTCTGCCTACTATCTATGGGGAATTCCTTAATCCACTTAAATAATCTGCCTTTCATACCACGACTTTCCAACCTCATGAGTGGTCTTTTGTGAGGAACTTTATCGAAGGCTTTGCTGAAGTCTATGCAGACGACGTCAAAGGGTCATCTGTTGTCCCCTCACTTGGCCCAGCTTTCTCTTGCAGTGAGAAAACTCGATGGTCAAGAAAGGTTTTCTTGGGAGCAACGCTGTGCTCTGGACAACAAATTGTTGTTTTCCAAATATGCCATGAAACCTTTCGTTGCTGTTGTTTAGTAGCCGAATTAGAACTTTTTATATAAATAAGCAGTCTCTGTTCTAAAATCAACGTAGCGTCGAGTACATTTTTTTGACCAACATTTCGTCAGTAATTTCACCAAAGGCAGAAATCTTAACGGCGTTTAATTGGCTATATCTAAATCTACTTTATATTTTGCAAGATTAAGAAGTGATGCGTTAAAGTCACCGACAGAAGTGATCCAACTGAATTCCATGGTTGATAACATGCGGAATACCTGAATTAATCGTGACTTTTGTGGTTGGAGATCCATATAGAGAGTTAACCATGCACCATGCAATTTGTAGAAAGGTACCATTAAATTGGCCCACAACTTTCGCCTTGCCTCGTAAAATCGGTTTGATAAGAACTGAACTTAGGAATTTAATATTATGCTCACCGCTTACCGCATATGTATTTTGCTTCATCTGGGCAGTTTCACGGTTTCTACACAATTTGATGTAGTTAACGTTGGACTACACACAAGTTCGCATCAAAACTAAACTACGCAGTATTTAGATGGATCAGATTCTGAGGGACTGCAGGAACGCGCAACCACAGTCCCATATAACGAACAATCTACTTACCTATATAAAAAACTGTTTTGGCATATCAATCTCCATAACCTGCCCTCCTTTCTAAAACTAGTAATCGCCGTACTTTTAAATCAGGTCAAACGAGTCGATTCATATGGAAACATATGAGTGCGTAAAGATAGCTTTTAGCTAGTGACTTTTAAAGCTTTGGCAAGAGTTAGCAGTACTGCCTCTGAATTCTAGTAGTTACACATCTGACGAGGGATATATGACCTCACCTAGTTTACTACCTCGCTAGTTTTTGGCATGGGGCTAGCAACCCTACCCTTGAAAAACAATTTAACTCCTATAGAAACTTCAAAGCATATAAAAAGACTCTAGTTATGAACAGCAAACTTATTATTCACTGGAATCCGAGATTCGAAATGACACAGCACGCTGGTGAAAGCCTTCGGGAAGAAAGTCGGCCACTGTGTCTTCTCTCCATGAAGGCAAGAATAAGAATGTCCGTATAATGTACAAGTCTGGAAAAGCTGCCCAGGCAGCTAAAGAACTGAGAAGATACCTCAAAGAAGTGCTAGGAATCTGTGGGAGCAGATGGAATGGATGTGTACCATCAAAAATGTCAGCTGGATAGTCAGACGACAGCCACGAGCACACCGAGGCAGTGATTAGCCATCATGATGTCGCCAGTGACAGACAAAGCCCTAATGTAGTGGGAACCAATCTCCTCCATGATTATGACAGTATGATTCAACTCAAAAGGAACTGGGGTTACAGCTATAAAATGCTCCAGACAATGCTACAAAGACCTAGAAACAAGAGGGGAAGGTATATTTCTGTAGATATCCGCAAACAGTAGTGGACAACATCCGAAATGACGAACTCAAAATCCCTGTAGGCGATATGAAAGCTTAAATGGGAGCAGACAGTACAGCAAGAGAATTCATCTTAGGTCGAGAGGCTGTAGGAGAAAATGGTGAGAACGGAGAACTCTTCACAGACTTCTGCGTCTTCGATGATTTGGAGATTACAGAGTGAGTGTACAAAGACAAGGTTATACACGAAGCAACATGGGTTTCACCTGAAGGGCACACCAAAAACTAGGAAGACTTCATCTAAATGCTGCTCAAGGAAAGGCAAACACAGCAAGGCTTCTGGACACAAAGCCGAGAAGGGGAACAGAAGTGGACTCAGGTCATCATATACTTCAAGGAACCTTCAAGGTCAAACTGAAAAAACTACAGATCGGATCAGAGCGAAGTCGGAGGTAATACGTGTTATCGACTAGGAAACCTGCAGGGAAGGACATTGGAACTCTCTGAAGGGGATATTGAAGGAAACGTGTACAGTTATTTTAGGAAGATAGGAAAGAGGAGACAAGGAATTGCTCTCAACGGACACCTACCTAGAAGTTTATGGAAAAGAGGATGATGATGAAAGAGAAGATGACTCAGCGCAAAGATGGACAACAGGAGGAGGAGTTGAGTTTAATGTGCACGCACTGAATAAAAGAAGCGAAGAGTGCTAGGAAAGACAAAAGACAATTCTACGACACAGTGGTTAGGACTCTCGCCGACCATGCACATGGTCCGGGGTTCGAGCCCCTGCCGGCGCACACTCGATATCTATGGTATGCCTGAATTTGGGCAACCGATATCCATGCTGAAAATTCCACACTTGTACTGAAAATACGGTGTGGAATCAAGCTGTAAATAAAAAATAAAAAAAATAAAATAAATAGCAGCTGAAGCAGGACAGGCGCGTCGCAGGTAAAAAAGACCTCAGAACATCACTTATGTCGGATAACCAGGCCTCTATTAGGAAAGAGGTCAACCCAAGATGCACAAGGAAACCTGATTACCTAGGGAGAAAACAAATTAATCAGTGGGCTTCAAAGAACTCTTCAATCGGCCATCAGCTGCAACCAGGCCAGAAATACCACCATCGCCAACAGCACGCATAGAACTGCCTGCCAGTGGACACCAATCCTCCAACGGAATCACAAATTCCAATTGCAATCAAACTACTTAGGTCCAAGAAGTCGGAAAGGCCAGACGGAACGCATTTGTTGACACAACTCCTGTAAAAAGTCTGGAGGGATTGAGAGGAAAACTACCATGTCAAAATACTAAGAGGGGCGACTTAGACCTCTTCAAGAACTGGTGCAGAATCATACTCCTGTCCTCGCCAAGTGAAAAACTAAGTCGCGTCAACCCGGGGTGATAGTGGATGCACTGGATGCAGAACTCCGCCTAGAACAAGCTGGGTTGATGAAAACAGAATCAAATGCTGATTCAATTATAACTCTATCCATCATAGTCGAACAGAGCAGAGAATGACAGTCAAACTCCCACCCCAACCTAAATTGACCCAGAAAACACATTTGGCAGCGTTAACTGGGAGGTAATTAGAAAATACTACAGCCCTATGGCCCTTCCCAACCCCATTCATCAATTAGATGACAATGGCGAGGAATCCACAATGATAAACTTAGTGGACCGTTCGAAGAGAATACAGGAGTAGGACAAGGCTGCTTTCATCACCAATGATATTTCCAAGGAGGATCGAATAAATCGGTAAATTTAAGTGAGATTTAGATATTTTTCCTCCAAAGGCCAACTTCCCTATCTGTACCACCAACGCTCCAGAGAAATACCATAAGCGTGAAACGACGACATGATGAAATTAAGAAATGCACGCATTATTCTCCTATAGAAACCGAATTTTCTACCACAATAACTACTCAGATTACCGACAGACGACGTGTGGTATATCAATGGACCGGTGGCATTTATGAACCATTATTTTCAAGCCATGGGACAGGAAAAGTGAAGCAGGAAATACCTAGTCAAACAAAGAGAATGGCATCCATTACTCAACAGATAAGGAATCCTTACAAATCATGAAGTTATAGTACCTACGCAACTGCTCGTTTTATCCTTGTGAGTTCCCTAATCACTTGCAACACCTGATTGACCATGGAATACTGCGTCGAAGAGGTCATACTCTCCAACAGCAGTGTGTGAATTTGAAGTAGAAAAGGAAATAGGTGGTGAGTTAAATTAGAGCTATAACTGAATTTTCAAGAATACTAGGTACTTTTTGCAATCGATGCTTTTAGTTCGTAGTCTTCCATTGTCTGACTGGTGATCGCACACGAATAATGGGACGAAGAAAATCAGCGCGTCAAGTTCGCGGGAGCCTGGTCACATGACTCTGATTTAACTGGTCGGCTTATAAAGAGAATGTTAGAACCCAGTATTAAAGGATGATAAGCTATAGGCTGTGAGTTTGAGAGAACCATTTACCATTACATGCTAATTTAAGGGTGCACTAGTCAACTGGGAGTTTTGAAAGAACAATATCTAGGCTGTTCTAGTGGTGGTTGGTTGTGTGGAAACGATGACCCCCTAACAAATATAAGCTTTACGATGTGTCATCCAGGAAGCAAAGAAAACTCCAGTCAGATTATTTTTTTCCCTGATACGCGCAGATTCAAGTTAATTCACTTTAGCTCATAGCGAACTATCATTACATAATGGATAGGGGTGGACCGCTACTCAGAGGTACAAAATTACCATACCAGTCTCTACTAGACAGTCAAACCTACGTGATAATACGTAGTTTTCGGCCTAAAGAATTCCTTTTAAATTTCAAAATATAGTAATGGGCAACAGTTAATGACACAACTAGCTCAATCACCACATTTCATAAGAGTGCAATCGTAAGCTAAATCTTTTAATTTTCCAAAATATTTATTCTTTTAATCGAAGAGATAATTTACTTACAACACTTCCAAAGAATTATGACGTTATGAAAGTCTGCAGACAATAGGTTTCTTTTCCAATGAGGAAAGTGGTGAATTCAGAACCGTCTAACCCCAGAAAATGTTCTAGTTCAACATGACAATAAATGCAGCAATGAGAAGTGCTACAGTGTATCGCCTAATTCTCTCTAGCAAACTTGAGGAAAGAAAAAGAAGTACGAAGCCACTTATAAAAATGGACTTGGGACGCATATTTGAAACCTGAATTTTTCTATTTCACTACCTATATAGAGGGAGAATTTTAAAATATCTGAGATAAAGACATGAGACATTGAATAAAAGAGTGTTTTCTAAATTCGATGGATCAGTTGGCGCTTTAACTATTTCAAGGTTGCTGATCATGTGTAACTGAGAATGAATTTTGGCAATTTACAATGCTTTGTGGGCAAAGGGTATGCTTATTTCAAAGATTTTAAATTGCATAATATTAGGCGAGAAAAGCCTACTTTTTATTCAGTAGATAAAATAGATTTTTACGATTTTTAAGCTAACAAAGTGGATGTCTTTGTGTAATTTAGGTGGTGAATGCCGATTTTATTGAAAGTGTGCACGTTTGCGATCTTCTAGTCTTCCTCTTATCTTCTGTTTTTCATGCTTCGTCACCAAAAAGCCTGTTTTTAATTCTAGTGGCCAATGTCTTTTGTTGTCTTACGTTTCACGTTTGCGAGTAGTTTCATCTATCTGTTATCTTTCGCTTGGCACTGGCTTTTGTAGTAGCTCACGGAGTTTAGGTAACTTCAAATATTCTTATGTGGGGTAAAATCCAGATCATGAAAATATGACTAATACAATTATATTCTGGACAGTCTTCATTCTCTGCATACTTATATTTTATTTGTATAAGATATCTTCGTTCCAATAACAGGACGTGGTTTATGTCAACCTCTTGATGCTTGAGGTATATTGGCATTGAGTAAGAATGACGTTCTCGTTACATTTGATAGTTTCATACGAATGGAAATAACAGTAGTGTAAATATTCATATTGTTATTTTTAACACTGATGTATTTTATTCATGTGTACCACTGCTCATCGTTAAACCACTAGTCTCTCCAGATAAGAAAAGCAGCATCTTGCACTTTACAGTGACAGATAGGACATCAATGATATCATGATTTCTGGCGAAAAGATTCTGTATTATACCAATGTCTTCATATGCCCGCCTTAAAAAGAAAATTCTTTCCTTATAACAACTTGGTCCCTAAGTAGGTCATAGTCGCTTTCATTAGTATGCTTATCAGGAAACTAGGTGAAAGTGGGGAAATTGAGCAACCTTCATGGACACCGCTGATCGTCGTTACTTCAGCTGACAATTCTCCCTTGGTTTCATTCACGGCTGTGTGAATTCCAGTATTGTGCCTTGATTTTTTTATTCCTTTACGTTCCCAGCAGAACATAGGGTTTTAAGCTAGAGACTTGAAGTTTCGGTATGGGTGGTGATTATTTTTACAGGATGGGGTTGCTAGCCTCATGTCCAACCTTCCCTCTTTACCAGTCTTATTTACGGTTTAGTGAGGTAAAGGAGATGGAACCTCGGACCACCTTCGTAGTCGGCAAGGACTCTACCCCTATGCCACCAACGCACTTGTGCCCTGATTATTAAAATGTACTTTCTTGGCATTCTTTTCACTGCCAGACATTGTCACAACACATTTCAGTCGACTGAGTCAAATTCCGCATTCAGGTAAAAAAAAATTTGGACGCCGTCTATGTTACGGAATCTGTCGAAGTGTAAAGATGTGATCAGTAGCCCTCTTCCAAACCTAAAGGCTAGCTGCTTCACACGCGTTTGCTGTTCTTGAAAGCCGCTTAGTTTACATAGGACTATGGGACCTGTAATCCTAGGTGCTGTGTTGATTAGGTTGGCACCCCTGTGATTATCACATGGAGGCCTGTCCTCCCCTTAACTAACGTAGTCAATAATTTGCACCACTCCAATGGGACCAACTGAAAATCCTACACCTTACCTGGTATCTTGGTTAATTTGATCAATTATTCATCACTACAATTACCAAGCACTTTCGTCTTGGAATAGAGCCACCCGTGCAACCATAGCTATAGCTAGTGAAAAAACGTCTGCATTCTATTCAGGTGGGCAGTAGACCAGTTGAGCTGCTCTTTAAATTGTTCTTTCTAATGTTCCGGTTGTGTCTCCTGAGAAGTAATTGAACTCTAGTGCTTCTCGAAAATTGTTTCAATTACCATAGGTTTTTTGCAACTTATGCACATAGCGAGTCAAAATGATTGTCTTGTGTCATTTACGGCAGATGCATTTTCTATTCTCTGGCTTTTATTGCCTATCACTGTTTGTGGTAATTGCAAAAACCGCTAGTTAGCTTTTATTTTTGCATCTTTCCTTCTTCGTCGTGTCTACTACCTGCTGAAATCTGTCTTCTTGCTTCTAATTACTCACTCACTATCTCCCCGTAACAGTATTAGCTGAACTAAGTCTGTAGTTCTACTCAGAAACTACTGGGATCTTGTATGTTTTGAATGGTACCAGGACTTCCCAAACCCTAGTAGAGTGGAGTTTGAATATGCGAGTCAGTTGCTGATAGTCAGATGCCTGAGCTAATGAACTGCAGGTTACAAATATATTGGGGGAACTAAGAATAACTAAGTCAAGTAATAGTGCTAAACCGCAAAGTTTTCTATCGTTATGTTCAAATATATTAGTTGTCTGTAAGGAAATGTATTGGACTTCGGTACTCATTATTTGAAAATTTACTATACTATAATGGATCAGCTGCAATGGAGTCCAACCTTTATCTTAGTAGTAATATCGTATTAGCTAATATCACATCTAGCGTAAATATGATATCCGGCTATCGATCAAATGGTGTATGCACTCCGCAGTACGCTATGTCCTTTATACCCGTAGAACATGGTTATTGAAGTTAGGCATACAGTGTTAGGTGAAGAGGAGAAGTCAATCGATACATTTATAAAGCTACACAGATTGAGATGGCCAAGACACGTGGTACACATGTCGAACCATCGCTTTCCTTTCCGTGCAGTGTTGGCTGACATAGGATTACGTTAGAAAAGAGTTGGAGGGCAGTTACACCGAGACTTAATATCAACCCATGAAGTCCTTGACTGTTCGCTGGAGCCGTGTAGGAGGGTGTAGACTACCTCACTGGGGTCCTAAAGATGCTGCAGATTACTGGTGATATAGCTCAAAATCATGCTCACTGTCGCAGATGCATCACATTCTATGTGACCTCCCATATCCATTAAACTCTCATGTTTTTCTATGGTGATGTTCTTTCTTTATTTCTTCGCGCACTTCTGCTCATTGTGGTTATTTTAAATCTCTTTTTCCTCACTTTTGTATGCTACATGGAGTGTGTGGAGTTGAACTACTGTACTTCTATGCAAAGTCCTTTGTTGAAACTCACTCATTCAGTCGTTTCTTTTTAGTTTTCACAGCGCTTTTGAAGACTTTCAGAATTGTTTCCATGTCTTTAATATTTATCTCGTTAACTTCATTCATTCCATTCGAATTCATGAGTAGTATTAGACAGTGTTTGTACTTCTGTACTTAAACATTACTCTTTGGCTCAAATATTGTTGATTCTATAAATATTATTCCCTCGGGTTATGTACGAGTTGAACATAGGGCTTCAAGTTTGAACTTTCACTAGTAGTGTTATTTTTACTGATTGAGACTACTAGCCTCACGTCCAACCTTCCCTCTTTACCAGACTTACTACTGACTAAGTGAGGGTTTTAGGAGGATCTGCCCATCTGTCTGTTTTCCATATAGAACTTTGCACCGATGTGCAGCAGTTCAAGTCGCCACACTCCATGTAGCACACAAAGCAAGAGAAGAAAGTAGAAGAAATGCATAATAGAGACAGTAAACAGAGGTGCGAGAAAAAGGAATAGTTTTAACGAAGAACAATATAGTTTCATTGGAAATTATAAGTCACAAGGAGTGGATGCATTTGCGCCATTTAGAACGATTTTGAGCCATGTCACCAATTGTTTCTAACCATTGATTTTTACCGTCCCGAGGACCCCAACCAGGAAGTCTACACCTTCCTATGTGGCTTAAACTAACTGTTGTAGATTTCATTGACTGGTGCCATGTTTTGGTTTGACCGCCGCTAGCTCTTTTGGTTTAGGAGGATGGTATCTACGGGGAATCGAACCCATGATCACATATGAATGGTTGACGAGCATTCTGCCCCTGAACCACTACCACAAAACATAGGGCTTTATGAACACATTATTCAATTAGTGCTCACATGAAAATACTTCCTTGAACCGTCGTTTATATTAACAAATGTTCGTATTTTTTGTTATTTGAAGTGGTATGAATTCAGCCATCAGTGCAACTATAAAAGACGAAGAGTGTAAAGTTGAACAGCAACTACGACAGCAACAACAAGCACATCACCTCCAACAACAGCAACAGCAACAGCAAGCTCAACAGCAACAACAACAACAACAGCAATTGCTCAGACCAAATCCCGCATATAATTTTGGACCATGGGATTGGAATGCTATGCATAATAACAATAACAACAATAGCAATAATAATAATAACAATAACAATAATAGTACCATGAATAGTATTATTACTAATGGAAGTCAACAACAATTGTCTAGACCATTTTTTCCTGATAATGATGTTATGAAAATGATTAATTTTATAAAACGTAAGTCGATTTGACTGTTAGGGGGCGATTTATTTATTTTCTTATACAGCTTTAAATATGCTTTGGACTGTTGTATGTGCCATGAAGCTTGTTAGTTGCGTGTCGTTGTCACTTGCTACTGATGGAATGTTTATAATAAGTACTCCTGATAGATATATGCTTCGTCCTGGTATATAAGTACAGTATATGCAGTGGCACAGCAGTAGAGTGTTTGCCAACCACGCCCCATGTGGTCTGGTGTTCGATCCCCGGCCACTGACGCACACATTTACCTCACTAAGCCAGTGGTAAGACTGGTAAAGGGGGAAGGTTGGGCGGCATGATACTATCATCAACCCCATCTTGTAGAAATAATCACCACTGCTACACAAACTTCAGGCCTCTAGCTTGATGAAGCCCTGTGTTCCACTGGGAACGTAAAGGCATAAAAAATATGCGGCCATTGAGAGTGTTGATGGGGGAGAAAGTACAAATTTCATACTAGCGGTTCCCTTGATTAGTTTGAGCAAAAAAAGAACGAATATTTATATTATATGCAGGATAATATGAGCTTGTTTTATTTCGTGGATTCTCTTTCTTCAACTGTATACAAACTACTAAACAATATCGAAATATAAGTTAGAAAATTTCTGAAAATACTTTTTACAGTGACTTCGAATTATAGATAGAAATTATAAGCAACATGATTCCAAAAATGATGTAAGTAGACGAATTATTCAGTGCTAAAAAAGAGTAACTCCATATTAGTTTGTTTATTAGATGGATCACACAGCGAGTGAAACAGTATTATTTATTGGATGACGTTTCGAACAAAATTTATTGTTCATAATCATTTCATCAATTTTGATCACACGACTTCGAAACTTGAGTTTTATAGTTTTCTTTGTTCTCTCCTATTTGTCGTCGTTGGGGTAGCAGAATTTTCCAGATATCTGGTACAGGTGTTGAATCATACCTATTACACGTATTTGCTGTTGATTCGATAAACAAAGCTTCCGTTATCAATCTTTCCCTCCACCCTGTGACAGATTTTAAAACTGTTATCCTATCCCATCCTATTGTGTGGTTGTGCGTAATTGCATGTAGTGCTATAGCTGAGCTATTCTCCAGATTTCTTATCTTATTCGGGTTAATCTAGGATTTTGCTAGGTTTTTATGCTCGGCTAGTTTGACTGCCCCTGTTCTACTAGTTTGACCTGAAAATCATTGCAGGCAGGGTATTAGATAAACTAAATTGTTTTGTTTTAACGGCTCCACAGGCAGGATCCTGTAACCGACAGAGCTTGTTTCTAATTGAGTTTGTGGGGGGTTTGAATGCTATCCACTTTTATTCCTTCCTTGTTAAGAATTCTGCGTGAGGTGGTTTCTGAGGTTCCTTCTTTGTATGGAATTACTACTGATGATTTAGATTCCTTATTGTTGATGTTGCCTTGCGCATGTTTGACATGCATGTCGTCATTATTATTATTATTATTATTATTATTATCACTATCACTACTATCATTATTTATTTTAACTTTACATTTGCCTACATACTTTCTGACTAATTTATCGGGGTAATTATTAATTTTCAAGGCTTCTCTTATTTGTCTCACTTCCTGTCTTAGACAGAAAAATTCTTCTACGCCTACGACGACAAATAGGAGAGAACAAAGAAAACTATAAAACTCAAGTTTCGAAATCGTGTGATTATAACTGATGATATGATTATGAACAGTAATAAATTGTGTTCAAAACGTCATCCAATAAATAATAATGTTTCACTGTGTGATACATCTAATAAACAAACTAATATGGAATTACTTACTACCACAGTGCTCAAGTTTTACACATATATTAAAAGAGTAACTATTTGCAGAATAATTAGGCATGTGAGGAGGTAGAGTTCAGATTTCGCTTAGAAACAAGGACTGGCTATGGGCAGAATACAAGATCGAACAACAGAATGAATTTGTACATAATACGATAGATGGTTCTTAAGGATAGGAGTGGAAAGTAAAGGTAATATTTTGACATAAACACACACACACATACACACAGTTAAATAAATTTGGAAACTTAATACAGAGTTCAACTCAATGAGTAAAAATCAAAATTAAGTGAAATGTTACGCGACAAAAAGCAATCACAAAAACACGCAAAGGCAACAATAACAGTTACCAGGGTAGTGAGAAATTTATGACGCTATCCTTCTGTTTGCAGAGGGGTTGGGTTGGGTCGAAATCTTTTGATAGCCTGGGTTTTATATGAAACGAAGTAACCAAGGTTTGTGTGCGTCGGTGGCACAGCGGTAGAACCCTCGCCAACCATGCATGTGGTCAAGGGTTCGATCCCTGGCCACTGACGCACTCGTTTACCTCGCTAAGCCAGTAATAAGACTGGTAAAGAGGGAAAGTTGGACATGAGGCTAGCAGCAACCCCATCCTGTAAAAAATAAACACCACTGCTACCGAAACTTCAAATGTCTTTAGCTTGATGAAGCCCTATGTTCCACTGGGAACGTGAAGGAATATACTAAAGGTTTTCTTTGTATGTATTGATTATTTTGAAGGCCTCACTAATTAGCACTCTGTGTTCTGTATCAATCTGGTATCTGGTTATTGCACTGGAGCACACTTTAATACCTTTAACATACAGAGCACTTTTAGGGATATGCTTGGAAGATATAACATACATCTAGTATAAATGTTTATCGTTGCTATCAAGTTATTTCTCTTGTCGTCCAAGTAGTTGGTTAAAACTTTGTTCCCTGGAATAGGTTTTTCATATTCCAGGATATGAGCCACACTTATTGTTGTGACTTCTGATGATATCACCCAAATCTTCAGGCTAAAGTACATAAAGCAGAGGACTCGGGCCCCTGAAACCATTGGCTATATGCCAAGTGATTAAGCCAAATCACCACATCTCCGCTAACCAGCTAGTCAACCGTTGGTGATGCTGTCAAGCGTAAATTTTTCAATAAACAGGATACGATGATTAACAGGCGATTGATATATATATATATATATATTTACGAGTTGATCACGGATTTATATCAGTTAGAGAACCATTGAAAACCACGGAGTACTCGACAGCTGTTTCACTCTAATTTGGGAATCATCGGCAGTACGCACCCACACCACGGGTTCGGACCCAGGACCTTCCGGTTACAAGGCAAGATGGCTCGTATACCATTCAGCCACTGGAACCCGATTCAATGGCTCATGAATTGTGAATTCTACCAATTCGTGATTTAGCGCGTCTGGCACCAACCAATGTCGTTGGTGGGACATCCATCCTCACACACTTGACTGGATGAGCCTCACTGGTCACGACTTCTCACTAGAACTCCAGGAAACTCCGTCCGTCCGGTAGCAAGTCACTAGCGAGCATCAGAATAATTTTCTATAGTTTTGTTTGTAAGGGTTAGTTATGTTTTTTCGAGTTGATCACGGATTGATATCAGTTAGAGAACCATTGAAAACCAGGGAATACTGGACAGCTGCTGTTTCGTCGCAGTTTGGGACTCTTCCAGTGGGTAGCGAAATAGTCGGTGAGCTCGCGCCTCATAGCTTGATGCTCGTGAGCTTTTTCGTCCTTGAAGAGTCATAAACTAGGACGAAACAGTTGTCCAGTACTCCCTGTTCCCCAGTGGCCTTCTAACTGATGTCACATTTTGTGATGGGACTTAAAAACGAACATTTGAAAATTTTTCTAACCTAAAAAAATATCTTAATTATTCTGAATTCAGTCTACTTAACTAAATAGTATTTACATCTGATATGTTTATGCAGCTTAAATTCGGTAAGCCATTTTAGGGGATTGTTGTCATTTTTCCTTTCTTAATATATTCTGTTAAATACACGTACGAGGGATGTATATAATCATGTCTGCTCTCCTACTCTTCGTTATTATTATTGTTGTGTATATATCCATCTTTATTTTTCAATTGGATTGTAATTTATTTATGTAAAGATTTTATCAGTAGTACTTACTGATTGAATTAAAAAGTTTCAGCATAAGAACTTTGCACAGAAATCCTGTAGGTCAAGTTGTCACACTCCACTTAGCACTGGTGCACAAAGGTAGACAAAAGCGAGGGGAAAACAAGGGATTGAAAAGAAGTATACTGAGCAGAGAGGTGCACGGGAGAAGATAATAGTAATATATATATACGGGGGGGGGGGTTAACATGAGGGTTTAGTGAATATGAAGGATTGGTTGGAGGATTTCATCATGAGCTGACATCAGTTAGAGAACCATTGGAAACCACTTGGAAGTACTGGACAGCTGTTTCGTCCACCCTAGTTTGGGACTCTTCACAGTACGTACCCCCCACAGGGGTTCGAACCTAGGACCTCCTGGTTACAAGGTGAGCTCGTAAACAACCTTTGCCAATTCACGACATAGCGCGTCCACTTCGCAATGTCTTCTTCGTCCATGAGTTACTGCCTCACCTTCACAACCTGCTGTACCGTACTGGTTACGGCTTCCCTACAAAAACCAATACTTGAAAATATGAAGGATCACAGAAATCGAACCTTGTGGAGGTGGGTGGGCGATTGTGGGGTGGGCAGGGTTAGATTTTGTATCGTTACCACCATTTAAATATCATGTGTCTGCTAAAATCAACAGTATGGAAACTTGACTGTTCATCTTTCTTGTATTGCCTTATTCGGAGTATTACGTATACATATATAAATGTATATATATTAACAATTATTGATTTATCAATTTTAGAAGAAAATTATGGACCTGCAATGATTAATCATGCTAATTTCAATCATGACAATAATAATAATAACAATAATAGCAACAGTATTAATAATAAAATGAATTTAATGCGTGATGCTCCACCCCCATTGGATAAATTAATCGAAATGGGTTATCCAGGCCAGCATTACCCTTATACACTGGATCAATTGCATTCACAATTTCAATTTAATCAAAGCAGATGTCCACCTACAACAACAGCGTTATGTAAGTCGAACTTTTCTTTATTTTTTGTTTGTTTTGAGAATGGTGTAAATCGTTTCTGCATTTATCAATTATTGATTCATAAACATTGCGCGGGCATCACCAAGAAATGTGAGGTCTAGGATACTTTTTTGGACGCCTAGACCGAAGCTAGGGGTTGTCCCAAGAGACCAGCGTCTCTCCATCCTTTGATTTGTGGTTTGATTCACGAGGCAGTCGAATGGCATCAGGAGCTGTGTCCCTATGCATCCCGATGTCCAAAACAGGATCATACTCCATTCGATCGGTTTTGATTTTGGAGTCAGGGCTTTTTCCAGCTCCCCTAGGTAGATCTGGATGTCCACCAGTTCGGTTGTGAGCACCAGATGTTCACACTACCCTCTTTCACTTTTGTGAAGAACACTCCCGCCGCATAAGTCAGTGAATGGGAGTTTCCCTGACCCAGAGGTTATGAGTGCGTAGCAACATGACAACATTTTTAGAGAAAGACTGGAGTCTATCCACTCATCCTGACTGGTTTCAACATTAAAATTTGCATAGAAGTGCGGCAGTTTGAGTTGCCACACTCCGTGTGCCACACGAAGGCAGAGGAAAAAGGAGATTCGAAACAACTATAATGGTCAGAAATGTACGGTAAAAAGAATACTAACATGGAAAAATATGAGGGTTTAATGGATCTGGGGGATCGCAAGGAGTGGATGCATATGCGCCACTGATTGGGATTTCGAAACATCACCAATTGTCTGCAGTCATTGGTTCTTAGCATTGCGAGGTCCCTAACCAGGTAGTCTATACTTCCCTATATCGTCGGCTCAAACTAATTGTCAGAGATTTCACGGACTAACTCCAAGTTTTGGTTTGACCTCCACCACTACCTCTTTTCCAACCTAATCCTATGTCATTCAGCTAACATCGCCCGTCGAGAAATGCGATGGCTAACCAGGCATGCGTAAAACATGTATTAACCAACTCAATTGGTGTAATAGCTTCATAACCTCGTCGATTGATTTCCTCTCCTTACCTAGCACTCGACCGAAGCCTCATCGCAGTATTAGTCACTCTATTATACCGCCTAACACATACTGGACATAGAACGCAGGCATCTATTATCAAAGACAGCTAGCTAGGCAATTCATGTCCTTTACTTTCAATATCCTTCTCACAACCATAAAGGAGGGTGGAACGAGTTCTTGAGCAGTACACACATCCAACGATCGATAGCCAGTCGGTTATCATGTCTACGCCAGAGATGTAGTTTGTCAAATGCCAAATGAGCCTTCTGTATCTGTGCTGAGATTTTGCCAGTGATCAGTCCGTTAGGGTTGATGTTATTCCTGAAATAAGTGAAGTGGTCAACACTCTCTACCACATCACTGCCTATTTTTAAGCTTGGAGTCGGTGCAGTCCAGCCCGGTTGCATCATCTTGCATTTGACATGAGCAAATTGCATGTGAAACATTCAAAGATTACTGGTCGAAGTGTTCAGAAGACTCTGTATTTTGTCAGTGTCTTCACGTAAGAAGACAATATTATACACACATCACTTCAGATAACAACTCTGTGTAAGCTGTCACATGGCTACGTGATTTCGAGTAGAGTGCCTTGATTGGTGCGATGTATTTTCTCGAAACATTGGATGAAAAAGTCCTGAGTAAAATTTATTGTTCCCATAATCATATGATCAATTATAACTACACAACTTCAAAACTTGATTTTTATTTTTCCATTTGTTGTAGAAATCGTAGTAGAATTTTCCACATATCTTAGTCAGGTATTGCATCATTTCCTATTCCATGTGTTCTCAGTTGTCCCGATACATAAAGCCTTTGTTATCAATCACTGCTTCCACTTTTTTATATCAGATTTTTGAAACTGTCATCTTATCCTATCCTATCTTATATTGTATGGTTGTGTTTAGTTGCATGCAGTGAGTGCTATAGCTCTCTGATCTACTATTTTCTAGATTTTGTCAAGGATTTTATACTCACTCATTGCTAATCTAATTGACCCTTTCCTGATTGCTTTGGCCTATCTATCTATCTATTTGACCTGATAATCATTCCAGTACGGTATTAGATAAAACAAAGTTTTATACATACATGTATGTATGTATATATGAATAAAAGAATTCAAACGTCTAACTTGTTAATTATGAAATCACATGGTGCTAATTAAAGCAAACACGTTATTATGCCCTAATAATTATATATTTCGATTTGAAATCAGAAAATAATAAATTTTGTTCGAAACGTCATGCAATGAGTAATACTGTTTCACCATTCACTGAGTGAGGATGCAGCAAGCTAATGCACCCGGATGATGAGACCCAAATAGGACGAAATGCAGATCCTAGACTCCATACCTGTTTCACTGTAGTAGAGAGGCAAGATGAAGAAGTTGATGTGAGTAAAAGAGAATGATGCTCAGGAAGGCTTCGTGTGCTTTTGGAAATGTGTGGGCGGTTGTTACTTCCCGGCTGCCCACACCGTGGAAGTTGGTTGATTCTTCAGATACCTGAAATAGAAAAAAGGTTAGTGTTGCGTGACCACAGAGTCCAGGGGACAACTGCTTGAGGCCAGTCACACACGACCTGTGTGAACTGGTTTCTGGGATTGGTTCCGTATTAGTAAACTTACCACCGGTTACGGACCACCGTAGATGGAGTAAGTCGGGATGTACAATTTTCGGGGTCGACCTTTTCTAACCCCCTCTCTCCGGAGTGGAGAGACAGCATACCTGGCTGGCATGCTGGTCATCTGAGGGAAACACTTTACTGCTGTTACATCCCTGTTCCCCAGCAGTACGAATTCGCCCTCAGACCCCCAGCATAGTGTAAGAAAGATTCTTACTGAATGCCGGTAACTGCTTTTAGTCTAATCGCTATCCTAACAACCTTCCTGGCATGGTAGGACCTGCAGGAACATAGGTTCCAGCCAGTGTAGCTTGTTGGGTCATCGCGATGTGCAAGCCCGACCAGCACATCAAGGTAGCAGCCATCAGTCGGGACTCCATACCTAGTCACCACATCTACCAAATTACTTCACTGCTATATACATATATATATTTGCTTGCTGCATCCTCAGTGAGTGTAGATAGTATTCCCAGTGGGGCTCGAACCCAGCATTCATCGTTTCAAATGACAAAAGTGTAGCCTCAACTAGTCTGCTTGAGGAGTCCCAAAGTAGGACGAAACAGTCAGCTGACCGTTCAGTGGTCCCTGGTTTTCAATGATCTCTCTCGAATTGACGTTAATTCATGACGAAATCTAACAACTGTAATTACTAAATAATCGCTGAAGGTAGAGGATTATGTTTACATATAGTGGCACATTTACATATATCTATGCGACTCTTTCTTTCTTTCTTTCCCTCTCAATTGTTATTATTTTTTTGCCTTTCAAGATAAAGATCCCAGTATACACAGTGAAGAGAATCACATCTACTCTGAGGTTAATAACAGCGGCAGTAACAATAGCAACAACAACAGCAATAATAATAATAATGGCATTAAACCTGAAATCCAAGAAGATCAATCACCGCTAGATAAAAGCACATGTAAAGGTGAGTCATTTTTACTGTTTTTTTCACTACGTCCGGGTTCGATTTCCAGACCGAGTGTGTCACTCCTAAACGTAGCTTGATCCCCTCCGGTCAGTCCTAAGCCCACTCAAAAGAGTAGATTAGGTGTGAGGCTTAAAAACTTCACTTTGTAGAAGAAAAGACATCACTGCTGCTGAGACTTGAAAGCTGAACGCTTACAATCCTGTGTTCTCCAATCGGACGAATGAAAGAAAGAATCATTTGTGGTGTTGTTAACGCCCACCTGTTCACATTTTATAGAGGTGAAGTATTTGACTACTGGTAATGATAATAAGTAGATTGTAAAAATATGAAGAAAATTTCAATCGTTGTAAATTTTCACTTATTTAATTATCATCATTAATAGACTTTTCATAATTTTTAATTAATGGCTTGGTGAAGGGGCATATTAATTTAATTTCGATTTTGTCCCTTTGCTTTCCCAGTGGGACATAAGGCTTCAAGCTAGAGCTTTGAAGTTTCGGTACCAGTGGGTTTGGCAAAGTTCTCAACAATAGCGTCTCAAGGGATGCGAATGCATGAGCGACTTTCAGCCGATCAATGATAACAATAAAGTGACTTTTGCACACAAAAAATGACGTACTTTTAAAAGAAAGTGCATAAAAACATATTAAACAGGATATCTTTCTCTGATATGACTTAAAAATACTTCCCAGTTATAATAAGGAGTATCAGTTTCTAAGTTGGACTAGTTTCTGTACATGTATTTATCGAGGTGACTAAAGACGAACTGTTTTTGTGAATTGTTTATTTCTCTCTTATCCTGTTGTGCAGTCTTCCCCAAAGCCCTCGGTTGCATTACTGTGATTTCCAGTAAGAGGATCGACGACTACTTACCAGGAAAATGTGGATAATAAGACAAATTAAAATAAATGACATCAACTCTGAATCTATCCGCAGTCGTAACCCTAACCTTAATCCTAAACCTAATTACAACCCTTATCCTAACCATAAACCTGACCCTAATCCTAATTATGACCCTGATACTAGGTCAGGGGTAGTGAGATTGTCGGAACATAAGAATTTAGCTAAGGCGAGAATGGTTGACCCCACCTGAGAAGATAAGTAATTTAGAAAAAAGCTCAGCACTACATTGCACTGCATGCATTAACACACAACCACACAATAGGGTGTGTGGGAGAGGGTTAAAATTCTAAAAAGTAATCTAGGTAGGTGGAGAACAAGAGAGGTTGATTACTGAATCCTGGTTCATTGAGTCTACATTGAACACGTGCAATAGGAATGACTCATCACTCATACCAGAAATATGGAAAATACTACTACCAATCAAATCAAGTGGTGAACAATAATGGAATTATGTAAACGAAGTTAGATAGTTGTGTGAATAACTTGATATGATAATGAGCAGTAATAAATTGTGCTCGAAACGTGGTCATCGGTAAGTATAACTGTATAACACTGTGAGACTTTATCAAAACAAATTGTACCCATAATGGAGTTCTTTTCAAACGCATAATTTCGTGTATCTTTCACAATACTATCTATTATCATTTTTCGTTTCCCTCCAACTTTAAAAAAAATTATTTTTCTCTTCGATATATTTTCTTTCTCAAATTTAGGCGAAAAATTCGCTTGTGATCATTGTGAGAAGAAATTCAAGACAAAATCATATTTAAGTGAACATATAAAAGTTATTCATGAAGGTAGGTGGGTGGAGTCTTTTTTATATCTCTGTCTGATTGTCGGCTTTTTTGTTGGTTTTTTTAAAAACAAATTTATTCGCCTCGTTTGTTTTGTGTTGTATTCTGCTGTTTTGCGATTGAAAAAAGGAGAATCAATATTATTTATTATCATTATTATTATTCCCTTGGGTTCTTAGTGGAACATAGGACTTCAACAATAGATCTCCACTTTGTCCTGTTTTATGCCGTCTTCTTCAGCTGGGTCCATGATAGCCCATAATCTCTCATCTCCTCCTCGTCATACGATCTCCATGTCACCTTCGCACTGACTGCCAACTTATCTTTTAGTCTATTGGGATTCCACTCGAGCAACGGCCTGACGCGTGATGTATGCCCGATTCATCTCCATTTTCTCCTACATATTTGTTTAATATTGAGGTTAGGCGTCGAGTGCTAGGTAAATAGGGGAAATCAACCGACGAGGCTGTGAAGCTATATCGACTGAGATGGTTAGGACATGTGTTACGCAAGCCTGAATAGCCATAGCCTTCCTCAACAGACGGGCAGTGTTGCCTGACATAGGGTCAGGCTGGAAAAGAGCCAGTGGTGGTCAAACCAAAACATGGCACCAGTCAGTGAAATCTACAACAGTTAGTCTAGGCCACGTAGGAAGGTGTAGACTTCCTGGTTGGGGTCCTCGGGACGGTAAAAACCAATTGCTGGAAACAGCTGGTGACATGGCTCAAACTCGTCGTTCTCGATGGCTGGCGCAGATGCATTCACTCCTTGTGACTTATGATTTCCAATGAAACTATATTGTTCTTCGTTATTACTATTCCTTTGTCTCACACCTCTGTTTACTGTCTCTATTATGCATTTCTTCTACTCTCTTCTCTTGCTTTGTGTGCTACATGGGGTGAGTGTGGCGACTTGAACTGCTGCACATCTGTGCAAAGTTCTATGTCGAAAACAGACAGAGACAGATATATTTGTTTGTTAAGCAATCGGCTGTCGCCTGTTGGTTTGTTCCCAGCCAGAGTTTCTTGTTGCTAATTCTTTCTGGCCGACCGACTGGTCATTTGATCTTCAGTATGGAGCCAGCCAGCGAAGTGGGCAGCTGTTGATAAAAGTCTGCAGTAGCCTGTTGGAAATTCTTTTTCGTGACACGTTGGCCATGTTTCTGACCCGTATAAAAGAACTGACATTAGTCGCTTATAATTCGTATTTTGTGTAAGTTGAAAAAATCTCAGCAACTGGATGTGTTATGGCCGCCAGCTTAATTGTTGTCAAAGCTGCAGGACCCCAGGAAAGGCAATACTGGCCTTCATTAATCTCGAATCAGTGTGGAAATCTGTTGCACTCAGTATAGATAACAAAATTCGGGTTTTCAACACGAATGTCAAGTAAGTTCCTCTATATTATGGTTCAAAAGCTCAGTGTGCGTGTCACCGAAAAAATTTCCAACAGCCTGTTGCAAACTTTCATCAACACCTACGCTTTTCGCTTCATACTGAAGATCAGGTAGATTGCTGGTCAGAAAGGGATTGTTGTTGAGAAGTAGTGTCATCCCGCTGGCTAGGTCAAGTGCTGCGCATGCCTCCCCCACCCAGACGGGCATTACTAGCTGATATAGGTGCAGGTTGGAAAAGAGTAAGTGGTGGCCAAACAAAAACATGGCCTCATCAATCCATGAAATCCTTGACAGTTAAACTGAGTCAGTCAGGTAGGGAGGGAGATGCAGACTTCCGGGTTGGGGCCCGCCCTCGGGACTCTAAGAATCAATGAAGGCTGGAGACAATAGGTGACATGGCTCAAAATCGTTGTCAATGGCTTACGCAGATGTATTCAGTCTCTGTTATCTTTCATATTCCTTTCTACCATTACTATTCATTCTGTTTCACTCTTATACTTGTAAAAACTCTATTGATTCTCTTCACTCATTTTCTTGTCTACCTTTGTGTACTGTTTGGAATGTGGCAACTGGAACTGCTGCACTTCGGTGTCAAGTTCTATGTTGAATCCAGAGAGACAGACAGACAGTGTCATCGCGCCCTTCAAGCCCTTGAGCAGACGCCGAATAAGAAACGATGAGTGGTGCGTCAGTTCGAGGGTGACATTTACGAGATAGGTGTAAGGAGGAGATGATGACAGCTTATGGCCAGTTATGGAGCAGCCAGTTAAGCAGAACATTGAGGTTATATGTCAATATTTTAAATTTTAGATTTTGATATTTTCTGTACAATGTTTCATCCCTCTCTGTATGTGTTTTCTCTGTTTTTTATTTTTTGTTCTACACAGGCATTTTAATCCAATGTGACGAATGTGGTAGTGGTTTCAAGTCGACTAGTTCGCTTAAAAATCATATTAATCTAGTACATAAAGGTAAGTGAGTTGTGTTTCTCTCCACATTCTTTAGTGTCTGTCTGCCTATCTCCCTCTCTCTCTCTCTCCCCTCACTGCCTGACGAATCAGCGTATTACTTTGGTACAGATTTGTATAAATTAGCTTCAGTTGAAACATTTCAAGAAAGAGTAAATGAAATAAGAGAAGAAGCAAATAGTGTAATGTGAAGAGTAAAGAAGATATACTAGGTCCTAGTAAAAAGGAGTGATCGATTTTTAGTTCTAACTATCCTGAGAAGGTATACCCTCTTCTCTATGTGATGTTCTCTATGGATGTTAGAAGCTTTACAGATCAGTGCCACGTTTTTAACTTGATCACGACTAATTCGCACACTCCTCATTCTACTTTAGTCTTTTTATAGACGGCCTATAAAAGAAATTAACTAGATCAATGTGTGTATGTGTGCGTGTGAATACATGAAAGTGTCAGATGCCAGTGCAATAGAGGTGAAGAAATGTCTATTCATTCTATGGTCAATTTAAACTATAACGATCCATGGAATGCGGACGTACGAGTAAGCTTGAACTGACCAATCAAGAAATACAATTGTTTTTGCATAAAAATGGCGTATGATTGCAAGAGAAATACATAATGAAAACACATTAAAAAGGCTTTTCATTGGCTAACTGGCGTCTTAGCGTAGCTTCCCAATGTGATTGTTTTATAATTACACTGAGAAATGAATACTGAATTCTGATTGATGATGAGGAGAGGGGCTTAGTATTATCACCTGTAGCTTATTTGATTTCAGTTAGACATGAAGTTAATTGGTGGATAATGACTAGCAGTGGTTCAAGTGGTCTAGTGGATAACGCGATTTGGCGTTTGAAACTATGGGCACTGGGTTTGAGCCTCCGTGGTGGGAACATCACCATTCACTGCGGAATGCAGGTACATCCAGATGATGAGTCCCAAATAGGACGAAATGCGTGTTATCCTGGATTCCACTGCTAGTCACCATCCACCAATTAAATACTAATTAAATGCCCAGACATTGTCGAATCATTTGCATAAGAAGCCGGCAGACATGTCAACTTGAGACCGAGCACTTCGGTCCAATCAATCGACGGGAAAATGTAAAATTAAATTGAACAGTTACACATGGTTTGAAATCGATAATCACTGTTCTAAATAACCTCAGTGGAAAATCCTACACTGTGCACTAACAAAATGATAAATACATCTAAGTTAGTATGATTGATTTAGAGCCTTCTCTGAATGCTAATAATCTTCAAATTCATCTGCATCATCGCATAGCCTAACCAAGAACCCTTCAACAGACAAAGACTTTATGAATAATGTACGTTATGTACTAGACTAACTATTTGACCACAGATTTTTGCGTGTTATGATGAGGAATATTGAGGTTAGGCGTGTTGATTACTAGGTAAGGAAGGGAGGTGTATTGATGAGTTTGTGAAGCTACATCGGTGAAGATGATTACGATACGTGTTGCTCACGCTGAGCTACCGCCTTCTTCGTCAAAGGTTATGTTGGAAAAATGCTTGAGGTGGTCAAATAAAAACTTAACATCAATTCATGAAGTCCTTGATTGATGGTTTGAACCATGGTGGAGTGACTCGTCAGTAATGGATACCTATGATTCTATTAGGTATCAGACCGTTAAGACTTAGGTTTACGAGGTGAACTCATCAACTGTCCAATCACTGAGATACAAACCAAAATAGCGCATTAATCTTGCCAATTCGCTCCAACACTTGGAAACATTTGCTTTAGTTGGAAATACTTGTATTAAGGCTTTTTACAAATGAACAAACTGTAACAACACAGAAGATTACTTCTAAGAGCGCTATCCGTTTTGTTAAGAATGCTAGTTTCTATGTTGAATTTCGTAGTTTCAAACACAGACAGCCACACAGATGAAGATGTGGAAGTCGACCACGACAGGAAATGCCAGACGGAGAAGGAGAAAGAGGAAATCTTCTTCACTCAGCCAGCATAAACAACAAAATCAGGATTTTCAACACAAATGTTAAGCTGGTCACTGCTTCTGTGTGGATCAGAAACTTGATCCACGAGTCACGAAAAGCATTTCTGGAAGTTTCCTTCAAACTCTTATCAACAGATACCCTCTCACTGGCTACATATTAAAGGTCAAATGGCCAACTAGCCAGGAAGAATTAGCAGCAAGAAACTTTGACAGGGAACGAACCAACAGGCGAAAACCTATTGCTCAATAAGCATGTAACAACAGAAGACAAGGGTCAGGCAACAGACCGTTTACTAAGGAAATCAACAGATATTTATAGATTTTCATGTGCATTATTATAGATTATTGTAGACAAAAAAACACAGTCTTCTGATTGGTTGTTTCTCACTGAACGTTAATCTTTCATCTCCCCTTTTGTGGCCGTTTCTTGAAGTTCAGATTATCTATCTGCAAATTTTATCCGCCTACGCAAACAAAGTCTGCTGTGGTTGATTGTTGAATCAGTCTTTGTTCTTATTTTTCTCACGACCAATATTGGGGACGTAAACATTGACGTAAATTACTGTCTACCAATTTGACTAGCAGCCAGCTCTCACCACAAGTATGCAAAAGGAAATAGAGATGGATCGGACACACTCTGAGGAGACCATGGAATGACATCGTGCGCCAGTCAGGCCATCGCTCGAGTGGAGCCTGAATGGAAAACAAGGAGTTGGGCGGCACTTCGAAGGTTTGAGAAGCAGATGAGAGACTATGAACAATTGTGTGATCAACTAAACAGAATTGCATGAAATGGGAACTAAGTGGGGATGTGCTGTTTACGTCCTATGTTCCACTTGGAACACATGGGAACAATAACAATACACAAAATAATTAAGCAAAGAATATCCTTTTCGATAAATTCCTCTTCTGGCTCTACAATTATGTATATATGTTAATATACATAGAATATCCTAAATTAGTAGTCAATACCAATATTAGTGTTTTTTAAATAATATAGATTTGTAAAGTATGATCACAATGGAATTACAGTTCATTAAAGATGCTTAAATTATAACAAGCATAAAAATGTTATAGCAAATAGAATATCAACTAAAATTAAGGAAAATCCCACAACAAACTGAGGATCATTAGAACCTAGATGGCCAAGGTAATGATAATGACTGAACTAACTTCTTTTGGGTGCATAAATTAGGCTTATTAATATGGATCCCCACAGCCTCAGCAATATTTAGAAGTCGAACTCTTAAGGCAAAATTGAGATTCGTAGGTATGCGGTAAATGACCCTGAAAGCATGGTTAACGTCAATCTTGTGTTCTGTATCCACAAGATGAGATAGAATAGCGCTGCGAATAGATTTTGTTTGTCCTTTGCTTAACCAGGCAGGGTGATGTTCGGAAATTCGACGAGAAACACGCCTAATTGTACGGCCTATGTAATTGGCTCACTCCACAGGAGCAGTTAAATTGGTAGGCACACATGGAAGAGGCGAAATTAGGCAGTTTGTCTTTTATTCCCGATCGCAGAAGAGGAGTGGTTTAAAGATACAGCGTAATTGAGCAGCAGGGAATGCTCTTGTTACCGCATTTCATGCTTTCAGGGTCATTTACCACATACCTACGAATCTCGATTTCGCTTTAAGAGTTCGACTACTAATATATATAATGGTAGAGCCGGAAGAGGAATTTATCGGAAAGGATATTCTTTGCTCAATTATTTTGTGTTTTATAGATATCTGAATGAATATTTTTGCTATCATAATAATAATAAATAAAGTTTTTGATTCAGAACTACTCCTCTTACATAGATAGTCTTTTTCAATCCTACAATCAGCCGGGAATTTGTATTGAAATCTTTCTTAACCTCTTTCAGGTCTGGGATTTCAATGTCATTATTGTAACAAGGTGTTTACACAAAGGCATACCCTGATCATACATGAAGAATGCGTTCATAAAGGTAAATTAAATAGTTAATATATGTATTGTATGTGGTTCCTTCATGAATATATGTTCTTCCTATTATTATTATTATCTGTTACTACATCTAATCTTGTTTCATTGTAATTTTGTAGTGTTACACAACAAGACGCACATTCACACACACACACACACTTCATGGCTCATTTTGCATATTGAAGCATCATTAAGACCAGTCGTATTTTATAATTTTATATTATAGCCTAACTTTGTGGGTTTATAGAAGTGGCTGGGCGGTTATCACTTCCCGGCTGCTCACGCCGTTGAAGTTAACTTCTTCTTGGAGTCCCTGAAACAGGAATGTCATCAGTCTCAGAGAGCTCTGGGGGACAACTGCTTTAGGCCGGTCATATATAGTTCACTCGAAGTGGGTTGGGATCTTCCCAGCGGCTACTGACCGCTGCATAGTACAATTTTCGGGGTTGACATTTTCTAACCCCTTCATCCCCGGAGCTGAGAGGAAGTATAACTGACTTACTGATCAACTGAGAGGAACAAATTATTGTTCCAACTTTGCCTATAAACAGCTTACACTGTAATGGTAACTGTTTTGAGGCTAACCGCTATCCGAAAGACTTTCCCGGAATAGTGGAACTTGCACGAATATTAGTTCTAGCTAGTTTAGCTTGTTGGGTCATTACGATATGCAAGCTCGACCACCACATCATAGGAGCAACTATAGGTCAGGCTACTTCAGCCTAGGCAATTGAGGGTGGGTAGTATCATGGATACAGAAGACATTTGTCGTCGTCTTCTGGCAATTGACATCAAAGAAAAAAAAACATTCGTAAACCACATACATGTCAATGGATTGAATGATGAACTATGCTCACTGTATTGTTTTTTTTTCCTTCACGTTCCCCATTGGAACATAGGGCTTCAAGCAAGAGGCTTGAAGTTTCTTTAGCAGTGTTTATTTTTACAGGATGGGATTGCTAGCCTCATGCCCAACATTTCCTTTTTACCAGCATTATTTCTGGATTAGCGAGGTAAAGGAGTGCATCGGCCGGGGATCGAACCCCGGACCATGTGCATGGTCGGCGAGCGTCTTAACCGCTATGCCACCGACGCAAACTCACCATACTGTATGGCTGTACAATTTGAATTCTCAGGTACTGCAATGGAATATTTTGTTTTAAAGAAATGCGTAGTATAACGGTCTATCCAATGCACCTTAGTATTCTACTCAAAATGAATGCTTTTCCTACAAGCATCGAAATGCTAAATTTATGTAGACTTAGGGAAATCAATCGACGAGGCTGTGGGGTTACATCGATTGAGATGGTTAGGACATGTGTTACGCATGCCTGCCTAGATATCGCCTTCCTAGACAGACGAGCAATAATAGCTGACATAGGGTCAGGTTGGAAAAGAGATAGCAAGTGGTGGTCAAACCAAAACATGGCTTCATCAGTCAGTGGAATTCACAACAGTTAGTTTAAGCCAGTCAACCACGTAGGAAGGTGTAGACTTCGTGACTGGCTGGTTGGGGTCCTCGAGATAGTAAGTACCAATGAAGGCTGGAGATAATTGGTGATATGGCTCAAAGTCGTTCTCGATGGCCGGTGTAGATGCATCCACTCCTTGTGACTTATAATTTCCACTGAAACCATATTGTTCTTCCATATTACTATTCTTTTTGCCTTATATCTCTGTTTACTGTAGCTGTTTTGCATTTCTTTTTACTTTCTTCTCTTGCTTTGTGTGCTACACGGAGGGAGTGAGGCAACTTGAACCGCTGCGCATCGGTACAAAGTTCTATGCTGAAATCAGTCAGTCAGTCAGTATGTAAACTTATTATAGTGTTAGTTTATACACTACTAATAAGGGCATTTATAAGTAGTATGTACATGGATGTCATTTAGGAAGTTAATGAGAGATATATGCTAGAGAAAGAAAATAAGTTAGCAAAATATGATGTAAATAAAATGGAAAACTTGCCCCCTCCCCTTCAAATGCCTTAAACGCATATTTTCTTTAGAACATGACATTTTCCCTTTTAGACTATTTCATCTGTACTTTATAGAAAATAAGAAGTTAAGCCTATTTGTTTCTTTATTGTGTCGTTCCTCGCATTCCAATTAGAAGACACGACCACAAGCTTCAAAGTTTCGCTGACGTGGCGGTATTGTGTTATTTTATGGGATAGATAAGGTCTGATAGCGTCATGACGAACTTTGCCTCTTTTCCGAGTATCCTCTAAAAAATTTTTTATTTCTTTACGTTCCAAGTGGAACATAGGGCTTCTTCAAGCTAGAGACTTGAAATTTTCGGTGGTAGTGGTGTTTATTTTTACGGGATGGAGTTGCTAGCCTCATGTCCCCCAACCTTCCCACTCTTTACTAGCCTTATTACTGGCTTAGCGAGGTAGAGGAGTGATTCAATGGCCGCGGGTCGAATCCCGAACCACATAGGACGTCGTTGGCGAGTATTCTACAGCTGTGCCACCCACTCACTTCTTCGGGTATACTACTAATACCAGATAAACGAGGTTATTAGGAGTGTTTTCAGCTGGAAATTTCATACGGATCTGTTGCGTTTTTGGCAAGGTTTGTATCATTGAACCACCGAGACCTCATTTTTTTCCTACTCTATTTATTTAGTCGCTATTTTTGAAATGGTTTTCTATATTTTGTAATCATTTTATGTCGAGTTGATTGACATTAGTCCTACTAGGATTCAACATGACCTCACGTAATTTTGTAGTCTAAAAGTTCATTAATTATTCGATGATTGGTGTTCTACTTGCTGACATTCAATAGATGAAGATTAGAAGAAGGAAAAGGCTGGAAGTAGAAGAAGAAGAACTCATTCACCCCGGAATAGATCTGTAGTTTACACTAAGATATGAGGCACAGTTATCTCTTGAATGCTACTAATAGTTATCCATCCAGTTGTTCTGGTTGAATTGGCTAAAGTGGGACTCGAACCCTTGATCTACTTGATTGAAAGCTAACTACGCTTAAACTGATGGGAGACAGAAGAAGGAAGAGTACGGATACAGAAGGCTCGTTTGGTTATTGCTAACTCACGCCATCTCTCCCTCACTCTCTCCCTAGAGAGACGTGATATCCAGTTGGCTATCGATCAAAGGATGTGTGTACTACATAGTAGCGGTTCGCTCTGTCCTCCTTTATGGCTGTGACAGAGACATGGCCATTGAAAGTGGAATATATGAAAAGCTTGGCTAGCTGTCTTTGATCATAGGTGTCTGCGTTCTATCTCCTGTGTTAGATGGCATAACGGGATTACGTTAAGCGTCGAGTTGTGAAGGTGAATCGATTGAGATGGTTAGGACGTGTGTTGCGTATGGTTGTCTAACCACCGCCTTCCTCGGCGGGCGATGTTAGCTGACCAGGTTGGAAAAGAGGTAGTGGTGCTGGTCAAACCAAAGCATGGCTTCATCAGTCAATGAAATTCATAACAGTTAGTTTATGCCAGCCAGTCGGCCAACCAAGTAGGGAGGTGTAGACTTCCTGACTGGTTGGTTGCGTTCCTCGGGAAGGTAAGAACCAATAAAGCCTGGAGTTAATTGGTGATATGGCTAAGAATCGTTGTCATTGGCTGGCTTAGATGCATTCACTACTCTTTGTGATTTGTCATATCCAATAAAACTATTGTTCTTCCACATTACACTTGTGTTTATTATCTCTCTTTTGTCTCTTTTCTTACTCTCTTCTCTTGCATTGTATGCTACATGTAGGCAGATTGGGAACTCAAACTGTTGCACTGCTGTACAAAAGTTCTGTTGTTGAAACCAGTCAGTCAGTCGCAAGAGTAGAAGTTAGAATTCATGAGCCATTGAATCGGGTCCCAATGGCTGGCAGAATGGTATACGAGCTTGCCTTGTAATCGTAAGGTCCTGGGTTCGAACCCTGTGGTGTAGGTGCGTACTGCCGATGATTCCCAAAAACTAGGGGGATGAAACAGCTGACTGTCCAGTACTCCCTGTGACTGGTTTTCAATGCCTCTCTAACTGATGATATCAATCCGTGATCAAACTCGTATAAACAAAACTAATCCTTACAAATCAACTATAGAGTAGATGTGTTTTTTAATTTTATGCTTTCATTAGGCTGTACATTTTTTTGTTTGTTTTATTTTACTCCTTATTAAGATGAATAATTTGATTGTGTATAATGATTTCCTTTTCTTTTTTAAAAAAAATTTCTTTCATCAGGTATTAAAATATCTTGTGATCATTGTAATAAGAAATTTGCATCAAGATGGTATTTAAAAGAGCATATTACAATTGTTCATGAAGGTTAGTCTCATCACAATTTTTATTTTTTATTTTGATACAATTCACTACACACAAATTGCCTTTCATTTCATTTAACCTGGAAGAAATAGTGATGTCAATTTGTCACTACTACAATGTGTTAAGTTAAACTCGATCATCCAACGTTTCAATCATTAACAAGCGCATTACTACTTCAACGTGAATGGTAGTACTTACTACTCATCTCATATCGCGTAATCAGTAGTATGTGCCACTGTACTGTTTAATATTATGCACATGCACACACACCTTATTATTAAGTGCTTAGGTTCATGGGAGGGACTACGCTACATGCTCATTTTAGCGGAACTTTCATTGTCGTCCTAGGCAACTTCTTCAGCAAAAACTTTAACATGAAGTTAGCATTAGTCATTCTCTCTATCTCTAGTGCTCATTCACAAAACCTTAGCGTATCCCTGTATTTCACTCCCATGCAAAGTCTGACGCATAATCCCAGTTACAACAATTATGAATATCCTCTTGGACTATAATAGGCAGTCCTATATTACTATTGTCTTTACTTCAAACGCCTCTCTGAGTTGTCAGTTGTGGAATCAACTGACATATGGCATTGTCATATAGTTACGTGTTCATGTTTGTGCCTTTGTTTAAAAAAATTCAGTCTCATCTCATTGGTTTTACAAGGTGCTATTGGCAAAGTTCAACAATAGCGTCACAAGGGATGCGAACGCATGAATGACCTTCAGCCGATCAATCATGAAGATAAGTGACTTTTGCACAAAAAGTGACTTATATTTACAAGAAAATGCATGAAAACGCATTAAACAGGTTATCTTTCTCTGATAGTGAGGAGTATCAGTTTCTGTACATGTATTCATCTAGGTAACGAGCTGTTATTGTGAATCTCCCATCTCTATTATCCTGTTGTACACTCTTCCCCAAAGCCCTCGGTTCAATTACTATGGTTTCCAGTAAGAGGATTGACAACTACTTACCAGGAAAATGTGGATAAGAAAACAAATTGAAATAAGTGACATCAACTCTAAATATATCCCTAGTCGTCACCTTAAGCTTAATCGTGACCCTAACTCTAATAACAACCCTTATTCTAACCGTAAAGCTAACCCTAATGCTAATAATTATGACCCTGATAATAACCCTAACTCTAATCCTAACCTTAGAGAGCTATAAACACATTGTCCAAACAGTACTCGAAAACGTGATCTGAGTGAAATTTGCTGCTTAGTTGGTCAATAACGTTGATATTTCAGCTAACGATAATGACAGGTGGTTCCGCAAACCAACGACTAGCATGCGTTCAATGTCATTGGAGCATTCGCACTCCTGGGACTCTAGTGTTAAACTTCGCCGTGTTATTTTGGTTAGATCGTTAGCTTGCTTAGTCGCTATACACTTAATGTGTCTAGCTCCTCTCTCTTAATGAGTGTCTTGAAGTATGCACATATACATACTCCTTAATCTTATATTGTGTTCACTATTTGTTATTTCTACTTTTCTTCTTCTACATTGTCTCATTCCTTATTTGTAGGTAATTTATTAAAATGCGAATTATGTGGCCGATCATTCAATTCGCATTGTGCACTACGTTATCATTCAAATATTGTGCATAAAGGTATGTGCTGTTGCAGAGCGATTCGTTTTTATTTTATTTTATTTATTATGATTTTGTGCAGATGAAATCACGTTAAAACACACAGATTTGAGCTGTACAGTCATATACATATGCATGAATTACAACAGACAATTACGGATCATCATTGAACAAAGCTTGGAATGGCAGTCACCTCTCTATTTCAACTTCATCGACTTTGAAAAGGCCTTCGACAGCGTCGATCGAGAGGTGCTTTGGAAACTACTTCGCTACTATGGGGTTGCCACCGACAATTATACATCTCATCCAACAGCTGTACGACAATGCTGCATGCCAAGTAATCCACAACGGGAAACTTACGGAATCCTTCGAAGTGGGGACAGGAGTAATACAAGGCTGCCTATTATCGCCAGTGATTTTCTTGATTGCAGTAGACTGGATAATGCGACAAACAGCGGGCAATGAGGAAACAGGCATAAAATGGACACACACAAAAAACTTGGAGGATCTGGATTTCACCCATGACATATGTTTGATTTCCCACAAACTGGAAGATATGCAAGCGAAAAGCAACAAGTTGACAGAAGAATCATCAAACATAGGACTTCAAGTGAACATAGAGAAAACAGAGGTGATGAAAATTCCTGGCCAACACCACCAACAGCAGCAACAACAACAGACAACAATCAGCATAAATGGGAGGAACCTGAAAGAAACAACCTCTTTTACCTACCTGGAAAGCATCGTTTCGACTACAGGCGGAACTGAGGAGGATATCAAAGCAAGAATCGGAAAAGCAAGACAAGCTTTCACTACTCTCAAGTCTGTGTGGAGGTCAACACCCAGCACTCAGCATCAAAAATAAGATGCTGATTTTCAACTCCAATGTGAAGTCAGTCAGTGCTACTATACGGATCAGAGACTTGGTGCGTCATAAAGAGCATCTCAAACAAACTACAGACCTTCATTAACAACTAGCTGTCTTCGCTCAATACTCAAGATAAGATGGCCAGAAAAGATCAGCAACAGAGATCTCTGGGAGCGAACCAACCAGGAACCGATTGTGAAACAAATAGGCAGGAAGAAATGGAGATGGATTGGCTGGCCATACTATGAGGAAACCATCAAGTGACTGACATCATTAGACAAGCCATTCCTCGAGTGGAACCCGAAAGGGAAGCGGCGAGTTGGTCGTCAGTGCAAGGGTGACTTGGAGGAGGTGATGAAAGCGTGTGGGCCTACTTGAAGCAGGTGAAAACTCTAGCTGAGAACTGAACGCAATGGAGACGCACGGCTGAAGTCCTATGTTCCTCTAGTAATTAAAGGATCTAATAATAACAGCAGACAATTACAATCAGTTTTGTTGTGTGTATGTATGTGTACGTCGGTGGCACAGTGGTTAGGACTCTCGCCGACCATGCAAATGGTCCGGGATTCGATCCCCTGCTGACGCACCCGATATCTATGGTTGGCCTGCGAAATTTGGGCTGCCGGTATCCATGCTGAAAATTCCATACCTGTACTGAAAATACGGTGTGGCATCAAGCTGTAATCAAAATAAATATAATAATAATGTTTGACAATGAGTGGAAATACTAAAGTGCGATAATAATACTGGTGTATAGGATTATTCAAATTCAGATTTATTGGTTGATGATAGAAGGATTTGAGCCTATGTTAATCCTTTTCCAGTAAATTTCTGTGCTTGTCCAAACCCTTCTTGAATGAGTCAGTTGAGGTTGCAGATACCACTTCTTCTGGGAGTAGGTTCCAGGAGTTTATTAATCGAGGTGAGAACCAGTACCCAACAGCAATATGATTTCTTCTTGGCTTTTGAACTCTCCTGCTATCTCCTCTAAGGTGTACTGACTACCTGATGGGAAGGAAAAGAGAATATGTCAGGTGCGTAGTCATTTTAAAAAATTTTAAACATTGTGATTCAATCTCCTCTCTGCCTACGGTATGACAGGGAGAAGAGATTTAAACTGTCTAGTCTTTCCTCGTATAATAAGTTAGTCATGCCGTGAACCATACGTGTTGCCTTCCTTTGAACCCTTTCTAGAATGTGTGAGTTCCCTTTTAGGCAAAGACTGGCTGCCTAGATACAGTTTTCCAGTCTTGACCTCACCAGAGATGTATATAAGGAGGTGAACATGTCTCTGGGGATTCTAGTAAAGGGTCTTCATCAGGACCTAAAACTACGTGCAGCCACCGCGCGACAGTGTGCTGTAGTTTTTAAGTCATGGCTAACTATGACACCTAAGTCCAAGTGAGTCTGAACTGATGGAAGTGTTATTCCCTCTAGTTCGTATGAGCTCGTGCTTGCTTGTCCAATGCGGATGGTTGCACATTTTGCAACATTGATCGGGAGCGTCCATTTTATGGACAACTCTGACAATTTTTTGAGGTCCTCTCGCAACGTGAACGTATCACTGTTGCCCTTCAGCTCTCTCCAAATTTTCAAGTTATCTGCGTATAGGACCATAAGGGAGTTGGCGAGCAGAGAACGGGTTCGAAACCCATGGTTTTGGTGCGTACTGATGATGATTCCCACAAGTTAGGACGAAACAGCTGTTCAGCACTCCCTCACTCGTTTTCAATGGTCAATATATGTATTGCATACTCAAAAATGCCTCCTTCACGTGATTGGTGCGTTCGAAGTCATTTGCTAATTGTTAGTTAGTGATGCTTAAAGTTTAACTTTGCCAACACATCTAATCCTTACAAACCAACCCTTGAAAATTAATCTGATGCTTGCCAGTCACTTGTTAAAGGACTGAGTTAACTGAAGCTCTGGTGTGAAGTCGTGACCAGTGACGTCCATCCAATCAAGTGTTAGGATGGATTTCCCGCCGATAATATTGCTTGGATGTCGTGCTAAAAATCACAAATTGGTAAAAGTTAGAATTCTTGGACTGACCATTGAGGAATCGAGTCCCAGTGGCTGAAAATGATATGCGACCTTGTGTTGTAACCGGAAGGTTCTGGGTTCGAACCCCTTGGTGTGGTTGCGTACTGCCGGTGATCCCCGAACTAGGATGAAACATTTGTCCCTCACTGGTTTTCGATGGTTCTCTAACAGATGATATCAATCCGGAGTCAAACTCAAAAAAAATCTAATCCTTAAAAACCAACTGGTGAAAAAACAAACCGATTAGATATATGAATGAGTAACTAACTAAATAAATAAATAAAGGCCAACCTAAAGTTCAACAGACATATGTGAAATAGACAATAGGAAATTAAAGTACATTCAGAAATGTGAATATGTGAGCACTAATAGGTTGGAGACGTATTGTGAGTGAAATGTTCTCAAAATGGTAGACTAAATAAACAAAATGTTAGAATATGAAATAAAATAAAACCAAAATGGAACATAGAATAAAGAAGGCCAACAAGGTTTTTTGTTTGTGAATTACATAGTAAAATCAAGATCATGAGGTAACAAAGAAGGTTGCACAAATTGTTTTTGTACACATAGTTCTGGCTTTGTATTATGTATTGACAAAGCCTCTGCTTTACAAAGCAAATGCACTCGTGTCCTTTTCGGTAAACTTTGTTGGACTTTGTAGACTACATCAAACAATATAGCAGATGATGCGTGGTCAGCATATGCAATATGTCGCAATATAAATGAATTAATAACTTCACTCTCTACCTTTGCTCCACCAAGCTGGGAGGTGCTATCGAACGCTGCGGGATGTGTTACTCAACGAACGTCCTATGTACCTAGCTCCGCAAGAGCAGATGAACATATAAAAGTACACATGGAGTTAGAAAATCGAGGTAACGTTTCCTTACCATTAAGGTGCACCAATGGACGGCTAGAGTAGGTTATTTGTAAAAAAGCAGCGGAGAACGTTTGTCTGAATGATCCTTTCAGTCGTTGATATAAGAATAGAACTTGGGCACTGTGGTAAACTTAGTCAGTAAATATTACTGTATAACACTGTGAGACTTTATTATATATAAGATTTTATTTTGATAAATCATAGTGTTATACAGTAACATTAAATATTACTCATAATCATATCAAGTCATTCGCACAAATTTTAACTTCATTTATATACATGAGTAAAAATTGATGATTAGACATTCGAATAAAATCAACAATATAAGATAAAGTACATTCAGAAATAATAATATTAGTGTTATTAATCAAATACAATCAGATGGGAAATAAGAAGAGTGTTTTTATAGTCAAAATAAATAAGTAACTTGTTAGAATGTTGTGATGTGCTTGATTATTATTATTATTGTTCCCTTGGGTTCCTAGTGGAACATAGGGCTTCAACTACACGTCTCCACTTGCTTCTGTCTTCTGCTGTACTTTTCACTTGCATCCATGTTACTCCATACTGTTTCATCTCCTCCTCACACGATCTCCTCCATGTCACCCTTGGACGTCCCACTCGCCGCTTCCCTTTCGGGTTCCACTCGAGGGCTTGACGCGCGATGTCACTCAACGGCCTCCTCAGCGAGTGTCCAATCCATCTCCATTTCCTCCTGCATATTTGTTGGGCGATTGGTTCCTGTTTCGTTTGTTCCCATAGCTTCTTGTTTGTGATTCTTTCTGGCCATCTAATCTTCAGTATGGAGCGAAGACAGTTGTTGATAAAGGTCTGCAACCTGTTGGAAATATTCTTGGTGACTCGCCAAGTTTCTGATCCGTAAAGCAAAATTGACTTCACGTTTGTATTGAAAATCCGAATTTTGTTGTTGATGTTGGTGAGTGATGAAGATTTCCAGATTGGTTTCAGGTTGATGAATGTGTTTCTCGCCTTCCCGATTCTCGATTTGACATCCTCGTCCGTTCCTCCTGTGGTTGAGACAATGCTCCCCAGATAAGTGAAAGAAGTAACCTCTTTCAAATCCCTCCCGTTGATGGTGATTGGCACTGGATGTTGCTGCTGTTGTTGGTTGGTTATTTTCATGACCTCCATCTTGTCTATGTTCACCTGGAGTCCTGTCTTTGCTGCTTCTTCGACCAGTTTGTCGGTTTTTGCTTGTAAGTCTTCGAT